ATTTTATTGTTTATTTTAATATTTGTGTACAGCGCTTTGTGATTGCCTGTCTGCGAAAAGCGCTTAATAAATAAAGTTTACTTACTTACTTACTTACTTATCCCTGTTGGACAACATCTCCCACCTCATGCAGGAGACTCTGACAGGATTGGGATCAGGACAAGCGTGTTTGCTTGACACCCATAAGCCATGTTGGCTTGACTTATTTTTGCAGTCCAATTCAATTGCCATTTCATGCCAAATATCACCCCATCTTGTGCATCTATTAGTATTCCAAAAAAACACATGAAAAGTGGAAAATATATAATTATGTCATGCAAAATCCTTCAAACCAATTTACAATCACTCCAAGATCTTCACTGTAGGCCTTAATTTCCTCTCTATTTGAGTATGCATGTTGGTCATGTTGGCTAGGGGCTTCACTTTGTGCAGTGTCTCCTAAATTGATGGTGTGCCCCATTTACATGGAAGATATTGTTTGATTTGAGTGACAAATGAAATAAATCATGAAACGGTAACACACAACAGGGTAATAAAAAAAACAAAAAAATATAAACTAGGGTGACAAATGAACAGAGGTGGTGGTTTACGACACCAGCTGTCTGCCATCTATAATCCAGTTTTGAGATCCCTTCCCAGACGCCTTAACGCCCACTCACATCCTGGGCCATCTGACCTCAGGAAATCACATGATAGGATGGGGCCAGGTTTCACAATGAGCTCACCCAAAACCTTGGCTGATTGTGACCTACACCCGTTTTCACACCTTGGCTCATGTGATTAGGTAGAGGATCATTAGGTGGTCAATTGTCCCTCGTGGGGGGAAACTCCCACACATTGCCATGGCTGGTACATCAGCACACTGACAGTAAAGATGCATTGTGCCTAATAAGATCATAGCCAGAACAATATGAAAAAAACATCATAACACTATGTGCTGGTACAAGAATGCAATGGCTTCTGAAATCCTTCCAAACAGTTACAGCTCCATATCTCACTGGTAGAAATGTTTCATCAACATATCTTTATTACGCAGCTCATTCATCCATTTTCTGCCAGACTGCAGAAAGTAGTTCTAGTGGTTGTTCATGCTGAGCACACTCCCTGTACTTACCTGGAGTACTACACGTGACCTAGCCCATTGAAATGTGACAGCCAGCAATTTGCCATCTACAATTCTGGATCCTGTCATTAGTAAATAACCCCCTAGACTCAGTCTTCATGTGAGTGTTCTGCATTACTGTCTGCCAAATGGTGGTTGAAACAAAAACATTTGGGAAAATATAACAGTGTGACTCTCTAACTTTGCTCCATGGGCACCAAAGGTGAAAGTGGCAGATCAGAGGCCCTGATCAAAGTCTCGTCATTCTGGCTAAGATTGATTCCTCTTTGAATTAATCTGAATGACTCATGAAGAACAAATGCTTTGTTCTTCATGAGTTTTCTTTTCATTCACAGAGCACATCAGTTCACAACATCAAGTTTATCACCAGAAAATGTTGAGGTAAGGAGTGAAGTTTGGTCTAGATGCTTTCAGTACCATGAACCATGTGCATATAACCTGTGCCCCAGACTACATCTTTGTTTGCCTTTTTCTCATGAAGCCATCATGAAGAGGCAAAATTTAAAAGAGGAACTAGTCACCCATCAAGCAGAAGTCTTTATCTTATCTTCATCTCCAAATGACACCAAGCCACAGCTCAACGAGCTCATAATGGGTCATGCAGCAATAGTTTATTTCCCCATACAGTGGGGGAAAAAGTATTTAGTCAGCCACCGATTGTGCAAGTTCCCCCACCTAAAATGATGACAGAGGTCAGTAATTTGCACCAGAGGTACACTTCAACTGTGAGAGACAGAATGTGAAAAAAAAATCCATGAATCCACATGGTAGGATTTGTAAAGAATTTATTCGTAAATCAGGGTGGAAAATAAGTATTTGGTCACCTCAAACAAGGAAAATCTCTGGCTCTCACAGACCTGTAACGTCTTCTGTAAGAAGCTTTTCTGTCCCCCACTCGTTACCTGTATGAATGGCACCTGTTTGAACTCATCATCTGTATAAAAGACACCTGTCCACAGCCTCAAACAGTCAGACTCCAAACTCTGCCATGGCCAAGACCAAAGAGCTTTCGAAGGACACCAGGAAAAGTATTGTAGACCTGCACCAGACTGGGAAGAGTGAATCTACAAGCAGCTTGGTGTGAAAAAAATCAACTGTGGGAGCAATCATCAGAAAATGGAAGACATACAAGACCACTGATAATCTCCCACGATCTGGGGCTCCACGCAAGATCTCATCCCGTGGGGTCAAAATGATCATGAGAACTGTGAGCAAAGATCCCAGAACCACACGGGGGGACCTGGTGAATGACCTGCAGAGAGCTGGGACCAAAGTAACAAAGGTCACCATCAGTAACACACTACAACGGCAGGGAATCAAATCCCGCAGTGCCAGACCTGTTCCGCTGCTGAAGCCAGTGCATGTCCAGGCCCGTCTGAAGTTTGCCAGAGAGCACATGGATGATACAGCAGAGGATTGGGAGAATGTCATGTGGTCAGATGAAACCAAAGTAGAACTTTTTGGTATAAACTCAACTCGTCGTGTTTGGAGGAAGAAGAATACTGAGTTGCATCCCAAGAACACCATACCTACTGTGAAGCATGGGGGTGGAAACATCATGCTATGGGGCTGTTTTTCTGCCAAGGGGACAGGACAACTGATCCGTGTTAAGGACAGAATGAATGGGGCCATGTATCGTGAGATTTTGAGCCAAAACCTCCTTCCATCAGTGAGAACTTTGAAGATGAAACGAGGCTGGGTCTTCCAACATGACAATGATCCAAAACACACCGCCCGGGCAACAAAGGAGTGGCTCCGTAAGAAGCATTTGAAAGTCCTGGAGTGGCCTAGCCAGTCTCCAGACCTCAACCCATAGAAAATCTGTGGCGGGAGTTGGAAGTCCATGTTGCTCGGCGACAGCCCCAAAACATCACTGCTCTCGAGAAGATCTGCATGGAGGAATGGGCCAAAATACCAGCTACTGTGTGTGCAAACCTGGTAAAGACCTATAGTAAACGTTTGACCTCTGTTATTGCCAACAAAGGTTATGTTACAAAGTATTGAGTTGTATTTTTGTTATTGACCAAATACTTATTTTCCACCCTGATTTACGAATAAATTCTTTACAAATCCTACCATGTGGATTCATGGTTTTTTTTTGTTTTTGTTTTTTTTCACATTCTGTCTCTCACAGTTGAAGTGTACCTCTGGTGCAAATTACTGACCTCTGTCATCATTTTAGGTGGGGGAACTTGCACAAATGGTGGCTGACTAAATACATTTTTGCCCCACTGTAAATGGTAAACGGCCTGCATTTGTATAGCGCTTTACTCAGTCCCTAAGGACCCCAAAGCGCTTTACACTACATTCAGTCATTCACCCATTCACACACACATTCACACACTGGCAATGGCAGCTACATTGTAGCCACAGCTGCCCTGGGGTGCACTGACAGAGGCGAGGCTGCCGGACACTGGCGCCACCGGGCCCTCTGACCACCACCAGTAGGCAAACATAACACATACACATGTAAAACACTGTCAATATTTTCCATATCTACTCAAGTTTTGTCTAATTTCTTCATCCATCTGTTTCCTGTTCATGTCTTTTCAGTAATCTACAGAACTATAGCCCTCACGTCTGAAGTCATGAAGTGTTTTGAGCGGAAAGTGTCGCAGCACACCAGAAACTCTCTATCCCCCTCCCTCGACCCCTACCAGTTTGCTTACAGAGCAAATAGGTCAACCTAGGACACCATCACCCCACACAGAGGCTGAGCCATCTGGAGAACAGGAGGAGCTAAGTGAGGATGCTCTTTGTGTGCTACAGCTCAGCATCAACACTATAAGCCTATATTTATTTTGTTTCCCCTCACGTGATGAAAAGCAGAAACATGCTGTTTGATAAGACTCACTTATAATTCTGCACTGAATTCTTTTTGTTGCTCCCATCATGAGCAAAACTTGACAGAAAAAAAACCATGAACAATAGCTGCTTTTACTAAAACAGAGGAGACACAAGGTTTCAGAAACAACTGAGGCAATGCACAGACTGTCAGAGTTATGAAAATGAGTCTACATACAGCAGAATTCTAGTCACTGTGGGTTATTGGATGTTGTTTATTGTAGGTCTTATCCTTGTGTTAATCAGTATATTCTGCTTTTATGGCATATTATGACCAAGAAGTCTAATAAGTGTTTTGAGAGCAACGATGCAAACAGGTCACAATTTTGTAGTATGCACAAGAGGTAGAGAAGGATTTCTTAATTTATATCTGTTATGCTGTCATCATTTCTGTTGAATTATTTTCTGTTTGAACTCCCAGAGCAAAACATTTTCTCTTCCTAAACTTAAATTGTTTAAAAATGTCTGCAAATTACTTTAGAAATTTAAAGTAATCTGTGAAATCCCAAAAAGCTGATTCTGTTCATGTGGACAACATGTTTTTAGTGGGAGAAACATTTCATCACTCATCCTAGTGATGAGTCCTTACAGTGGAAATATATAAACATGATTCCAGCAGCAAACAGAGAAAACGAAATTAACATTTCTTCAAAAAATTATGCACTGTAACTGCAATAACACCTCGCATGTCCATAGCTTCTTTTCCAGCTTTTAGTTTAGCTATTATCTTTATCTCTGTTTTCTGTGCATTGTTCTCTGCAAAAACATCTTAGTCATGATGTGGTCAAAAACCTAAATGTTTTCTTCCTCTTTAGTTGAATTTCTCTCTTTCTGTTATTTTTTTCTCCTCCAAAATGAAGATGACAAATAAAAAAGCAATTTTTTTTCTATCTATTATCACATACTGATTTCATAGTTTTCTACAGACATGTTCAAATATGGTTATGGTGTGCCTACCAGGGGGTGGTCACTTTGTTCTCTATAAAAAACCAAAACTTCCCCGGTACTGTGTCTACGTTTTTAGCATCTCCCTTTTACACACTTGAAATTAACCAGGAGGTATTGACATCGTCTCTTTTTCCAAAAAAGGTAAAGCAATAAAGTTTTTTGCTTTTAGATTTTTTTAATTTTTGCTGGTAAAAATCAAGCTGTTCAACTACTTTTTGTCATTGTCTGTTTTTGTCACCTGTTGCTAATTTCCTTGATTAATATTTTTATGAAACAAAATTTCAAAGAAAGTGCAAAACCGGAATAAAAATGTGATAAACACCATCAATGAAAAGTTGAAAGCTTGTATGCTTTGCATTTCTGCATAAAAAACTGTCAAGTATTGCAAACTGATTGTTCTGTAAACTGATGAATTAATTTATAAACTAACTATTGATCTACATAAAAAGGTTTATTTGTGTTATTTCAACAGGGGATTATAACCAGAAGTAGCTGGCAACACATGTGAAGGTAAGTGAGGCAGCTCGATATCATGTTAAATGTTTGTGTTGTTTCCTTAAAACATTCACTTGGTTTAATTGTTATGATTGTTATGGTTTATTGGTTAAGACACAACAGTTTTGTTTGTGAAAACCACTGTGTTGTTAAATCTGATCTGATTAGATGGCTGGCCTGTGCTGGCTGGTGATGGTGCCAGCCTTCTTCCTGTCTCCTCCAAACATTTTGGCTGCTGTAAACCAGGACTGGCTCACGAACATTGTAGCAGCTGTCAAGAACAAGTGAGTTGACAAAAGTGGGGTTTTGGGGTTTTTATGTGTGATATTATATCTAATCACTGCTCTTCTAATCTGCTTGTGCTATTATCGATCTGTTGAGTCACCTGAAGGCAAGACATCTCTCTATGACTTCAGCCTTTGTATTACAACTATACATGAAATAAAGTATGTGACTTTATTTTACACTGCAGTTTTTCTGTTGTTTAAAGTGATTATAATGAGCTTTAAATCCTAATAAAAGATTATTATTATTATTATTATTATTTATTAATTTGCAATAGTATGTTTTAGTTTAATAATGATATCACTATTATTATTATTAATAGTAATAGTAGTAAGTAATTGTTAATGAAAATCTATAGTAATAGTATATATAGAATACAATGTACACGTACAACAAAATTATGGGTGCTCCATGTCAAGTGTGCAGGAATAACATCTAATTATTAGACAGCAGGAATAAATAGCAAACAAGAGACATATATACAAAAATAACTTTGGAGAATAAAATAATTGCAAAGTGCTTGTAAGTAGTGCAAAGTAAGATTTGGTCTGAATACAGTCCGTGTGAGTGGCCTGAGTGATGAGGGTTACTCAGACTGGTGATCTGGGTGGGCAGGGGTGGATTGTTAACAGTACGAACTATCCTTTGGAAGAAGCTGTTTATGAGTTTTGGATTGTGAGTGTGAGACCTGATTGACCTGAGGCCAGGGCTGGACTGAGACAAAAAAATCATCCCGGGCATTTTGACTAGACACCGGCCCACCAGGTATTATAGGTAAAGCCATGAAGCCTTTGAATGAAAACAAACGCCGTTGTAACAGTACGCTGTCTTGTTGGTATATGTATGATTTCTATACATTTTATATCAGATAAAAACTTTGGTTTTAAGATTCAGATTATTATTTTTTAAAAGCGAGACATTTTAAATGAGAGTAAGAAAGAAAAGTATTTCTTTGTGCCCCCCTCTCCCTGTTAATGCCCTTCCTGGCCCCCTGGCAACACTTTGCTAGATCCGCCCCTGCACAGTTACCAGCTGTCAGCTACATAGAAAAGGATCCTGGGGTTATTTGTCTCTCAGAAACAGTTCATAACTTCCCTTCAACTCATTCATGTCACCTAAAAGGTAAACCTGTTTCTCCATCACCTGTTCAGCTCTGATGATCCAGTAAGGACATCTCCTGGTTTCATCTTCATGTTTCCATCTCACCAGATAACCAAACCGACATCATGACCAGCAGCTTTACAGCTGTGGCTCCAGCAAACATCAGCTGATACTAGAAATTAATATTAAATAAATTCTAACAACAGCTGATCAAGCTTAAACGTGCTGCTGTTGTTTAGCACGACATCCACTGGTTTCCTCTTTCTGGCGCAAACTGGGCGATAAACAAACAAGAGAGAAAAGCCGATCAGCTGATCATTGATCAGTTTCATGATTGAAGTAGCAACAGGAGAGGGAGGGGGGAGAGAATGAGAGAAGAAGAGGCAGCTGACAACGTAAAGAAAACTAAAAATCACCATCGGCCCACCGGGCATTTGCCTGGTATGCCCGATGGCCAGTCCAGCTATGCCTCAGGTTATATATAGTAGATCAATAATTGGACTCCGAGGTTGCTCAGGGTCTTTTGTTATTCGTTAGAATAAAATGTACCATAAAATGAACTTGTTTTTTAATATGGAACTTTAAAAAAAAGAGAAAAAAAAAGAATTTGATGCAGAGGATTGCTTGTTATGTCTAGTGTCCCATTAGTGTCCCATAAAATACATTTTAATCATCTGTGTGAGGCATTTACGGCTCTTTTTTTTTTCTTTTTCCCTGGTACCCTCGAGACACTCAATGCAAAATATACTTTTACAACTCACTGACAAAGCCCAGATCATCACTGGTAGTCCAAATTTAGTGTGCAGTTTATACTTATTATATTATATTTTTGGCAGGTATGAACTAGGTGATTCCTTCAGCATGGCTTTGAACATCCCACAGAATCAAGATCCAAGCAGTCTCCAAGAAGTCCTTCAGAATGACCCAGCAGACAGCGTGACAGGAGCCATTTCACAGGACCAAGTGTACAAAGGCACCAGGGTGGTGGCAGCGACACAGTCACAGGCACTATCACATGTTCTTCATAACATACAACCATTCATAAACAGTAGTGAGGGTAACGTTCTCGTCATCTACTCTGAAAACTCTCCAATTTCAAATGACGAAGGTATCACTTTGAACATTAGTGATATCACTAATAACTGGAGCGGTTATGCGTTTGTTTTTTCTAATGTAGCTGATGTTCCTGCTTCAGACACATCTCAGCTGACTCAATCATTTAAGAATCTTGAGATTACCAAACTTGGGCTTAACAACATATATCGTTGTTATGCACCTGGAGATGATGCTTTTCAGTGCACAAGATGCTCCTCGGGGGGAGATGTTACACCCACATGTGTTGCAAACCCAGCCCTGTCAAGTCAAGAACAAGGTACAGATGTAGAAACACCTAAACCAGGCCTTGACACTGGTCTAGGCAATGACATAGGCAATGACATAGGCAATGACATAGGCAATGACATAGGCACGGGTATAGGCACTGGTCTAGGCAATGACATAGGCAATGACATAGGCACGGGTATAGGCACTGGTCTAGGCAATGACATAGGCAATGACATAGGCACGGGTATAGGCACTGGTCTAGGCAATGACATAGGCAATGACATAGGCAATGACATAGGCACGGGTATAGGCACTGGTCTAGGCAATGACATAGGCAATGACATAGGCAATGACATAGGCACGGGTATAGGCACTGGTCTAGGCAATGACATAGGCAATGACATAGGCAATGACATAGGCACGGGTATAGGCACTGGTCTAGGCAATGACATAGGCAATGACATAGGCAATGACATAGGCACGGGTATAGGCACTGGTCTAGGCAATGACATAGGCAATGACATAGGCAATGACATAGGCACGGGTATAGGCACTGGTCTAGGCAATGACATAGGCAATGACATAGGCACTGACATAGACAGTGGGATACCTCCAGGCTCAGGTAGGGGAAAAGAGGGTCAAATGAGCAAGTGCAAAGGAAATCAAAGAGGAAGCTTCAAACGCAGGGGAGGCAGCAAGCTTAGAGGAGGAGGTCGATGTAAAAAACGAAGCAAGTTTAGACGAAGAGGCCCAGGTAGAAAAGGAAGCAAGCTTGGACGAGGAGGCCGACGTCAAAAAGGCAGCAAGCTTAGACGAAGAGGCCCAGGTAGAAAAGGAAGCAAGCTTGGACGAAGAGGCCGACGTCAAAAAGGCAGCAAGCTTAGACGAAGAGGCCCAGGTAGAAAAGGAAGCAAGCTTGGACGAGGAGGCCGACGTCAAAAAGGCAGCAAGCTTAGACGAAGAGGCCCAGGTAGAAAAGGAAGCAAGCTTGGACGAGGAGGCCGACGTCAAAAAGGCAGCAAGCTTAGACGAAGAGGCCCAGGTAGAAAAGGAAGCAAGCTTGGACGAGGAGGCCGACGTCAAAAAGGCAGCAAGCTTAGACGAAGAGGCCCAGGTAGAAAAGGAAGCAAGCTTGGACGAGGAGGCCGACGTCAAAAAGGCAGCAAGCTTAGACGAAGAGGCCCAGGTAGAAAAGGAAGCAAGCTTGGACGAGGAGGCCGACGTCAAAAAGGCAGCAAGCTTAGACGAAGAGGCCCAGGTAGAAAAGGAAGCAAGCTTGGACGAAGAGGCCGACGTCAAAAAGGCAGCAAGCTTAGACGAAGAGGCCCAGGTAGAAAAGGAAGCAAGCTTGGACGAGGAGGCCGACGTCAAAAAGGCAGCAAGCTTAGACGAAGAGGCCCAGGTAGAAAAGGAAGCAAGCTTGGACGAGGAGGCCGACGTCAAAAAGGCAGCAAGCTTAGACGAAACAGAGAAAAGAAGCAAGCTTGGACGAAGAGGCCCAGGTAGAAAAGGAAGCAAGCTTGGACGAGGAGGCGACGTCAAAAAGGCAGCAAGCTTAGACGAAGAGGCCCAGGTAGAAAAGGAAGCAAGCTTGGACGAGGAGGCCGACGTCAAAAAGGCAGCAAGCTTAGACGAAGAGGCCCAGGTAGAAAAGGAAGCAAGCTTGGACGAGGAGGCCGACGTCAAAAAGGCAGCAAGCTTAGACGAAGAGGCCCAGGTAGAAAAGGAAGCAAGCTTGGACGAGGAGGCCGACGTCAAAAAGGCAGCAAGCTTAGACGAAGAGGCCCAGGTAGAAAAGGAAGCAAGCTTGGACGAGAGGCCGACGTCAAAAAGGCAGCAAGCTTAGACGAAGAGGCCCAGGTAGAAAAGGAAGCAAGCTTGGACGAGGAGGCCGACGTCAAAAAGGCAGCAAGCTTAGACGAAGAGGCCCAGGTAGAAAAGGAAGCAAGCTTGGACGAGGAGGCCGACGTCAAAAAGGCAGCAAGCTTAGACGAAGAGGCCCAGGTAGAAAAGGAAGCAAGCTTGGACGAGGAGGCCGACGTCAAAAAGGCAGCAAGCTTAGACGAAGAGGCCCAGGTAGAAAAGGAAGCAAGCTTGGACGAAGAGGCCGACGTCAAAAAGGCAGCAAGCTTAGACGAAGAGGCCCAGGTAGAAAGGAATCAAGCTTGGACGAGGAGGCCGACGTCAAAAAGGCAGCAAGCTTAGACGAAGAGGCCCAGGTAGAAAAGGAAGCAAGCTTGGACGAGGAGGCCGACGTCAAAAAGGCAGCAAGCTTAGACGAAGAGGCCCAGGTAGAAAAGGAAGCAAGCTTGGACGAGGAGGCCGACGTCAAAAAGGCAGCAAGCTTAGACGAAGAGGCCCAGGTAGAAAAGGAAGCAAGCTTGGACGAGGAGGTAGACGTAGAAATGGAAGCAAGCAAGGCAGAAAACAGGGCAAAGGCAGAAGAGGAAGCAAACGCAACGGACGCAACAAGAGTAGAAGAGGTGGTAAACGTAGAGGGAAATGGGGGATGGCATGGTTAAGGTAAAACAGGTCTGTCATAGCCTTAAACTCTGACAAGTAACCCAGTGAAGCTAGGAAGATCCTCTGAGAAACTGCATTATTTTTCCTTTTCATAGATTTAGTTGTTGTTTTTTATGCTAGCATAACTCTCATTTTTTGGCCTTTATAAACAAAATAACTTGCTTTCGAACTTGTCAGTGAGTTAATATGATCATGTCCCATGTGACCTGCTGTTTAAACCTTCAAGGAGCTGCCAGAAAATGTTGGTTTAAAAAAAGAATAAAATACATTTGAAAATAATAAAAAGAAACATGACACTAGAAATTTAAAGAATATGTCCACTTTAAGAATTTTACAACCTTTTACTGATTTAATGAGCTTTTGTGAAACATTCTTACAGATCTGTGGTAGGAGCAATCAACTTGAAACTTTTGTCTTGAATCATGAATTGGAGTCACAAAACAGGGACTTTAAAGAGATTTGACTACTATTTCATTTAGTCAAAGATTAAACATTATCAAAACTTTAATGTTCTGCTCTTCCTGATTAAAGCTTGGCTTGGCATGCATTCTGGTCTCTGTGTCAATCATTTGGAAACTCCTGTGTTATGGTACTATTAGACTTGCTTTGATAAATAAAGGACTGCACTTTCTGTATATCCTGAAACCAAATTCTCTGAACTATTACTCATGACATTTAAAGTTATGTGTTCAATGAACAGGATAGTGCATTGCATATAACATTTAGCCATTTTATACATGTTTTCTGTTAAAGCTATTTTATCAAAATATTACTCCTCAGTCACTACAGTTTGTACTGACATTACTGTTTCACTTTTTATTTCTTTTTTTAGATGGACATTGTTCAGGTGAAATAGGCCAGCTAATCAGTAAAAATGGATAGTCAGACTGCAATGTGATTCAAATGAATTGAATCAATGTCTAAATGCTCTTGATTTAATAATTCTGCAGCATTGCTTTTAAAATGCATTAAAGATTTAAATAAATAACACATTTTAAAAAACATGGGATATTTCAGGCCATTTAAAAAATGTCTATATTTTCTCTTTTTTTCTTCTCTTTTGGTCTCTCTTGACAGTCTCTCTGTAAAGAGCTCTTATCTTCTTTTCTAACTAACTGTAGATTTGTCCCTTCTTTTGCTGACACCCTTTCTAGCTCCTTGTTGCTTTCTGAAATTCTTCTCCAGTCTTTGTTCCTTTCTTTTAGACATATTGTCTGTAGTTACTAGTTTAACTTTAGTTTGGTATATATTACATAAGCATGCCTGTTTCACCTTTTTCCCTTCTCAGTGAACATGGGCTCATATGTGCACGACTATGTTCATATGTGCATAATACTCCTATTTGTGCTTATGCACACACAAATGTAGAAATCTTTTCAAATCCACACTAATGCGCACTGTGAAAACATCTGATAAAACTCAGCATGTTGCTCGTTTTAACATAAATCAATTGCTTCATTTTATCTGGTAAATTGGCCTTGTAACTGCAAATGATTTTTCACAATTTGTCTAGCAAAGTTTCTGATGTTCGCTTTAAGAGGCTTGGATGAAACGATACATGTCAAGCGCTGCCGTCGGAATCTGCAACTACAAGTCCCACAATGCCGTGTTGTACTGCAATTCATGTGACCACAAGAGCAAACATGGCGGAAGTAGACGCGATGAAGTCTCTGAGCAGCTTGTTAAATGGAATCGCACAGAAAGTATATTACAACAACAGCGAGATCACAGAGGAGCTGCTGAAAAGCGAGCTCTACCCCGAGATGTCGCCAGACGAGTTCACAGCTTTGCACGACAAAATGAAAGGCCTCTTAAAGGTAATGCAACACGGCACCCTGCACTACTGATGATCCTGATGCTGAAGTGGCAGTCGAGACCAAGCAATTCTGCTCTTTTCACTAATATTCACTTCAGTTTAGGAGAAAGGGTTGCGTCTGCGTGATAGTGCATGCTTGTGCCCATGCAGAAATGCACAACACGCAAACAAACACACATTAATGAGAGGCACCGTGAGAATATCTGTTAAAACGCAACTCAGAACATTGTCCGAATGTTTCTCTCTTAAAAGAGCGGCCGAACGAAGAAGTCTTCATGAACACATCTGTCAAATGAACTGTCTTTCTTTTTATGGATGAGTGTCGCCATGTTTGGACTCCCAGCATTTAAAGTCAGCTTTCTGTAGTTTCTGCTATTTCAGTACTTTGGCCTTGGGTTGCTTCCAGTACAAGTGAAGCAATGATTGAGTCAAATGGGTTGCTTGCCTCATTGCCAGGAAGAAATTGGAAATTATTCTTTTATGTACAAGGCAACATAAGGCTAACCTATGTTGGGGGTAGGGGATGTCAGCTCCTTAGTGTGTGAATGTGTGCGTGAATGGGTGAAAAAGAATAATCATAAAAGAATAATTTCCAATTTGGATATGTAAAGCGCTTTGGGGTCCTTAGGGACTAGTAAAAGCGCAATATATACTAATGTGACACATTAGTATATGTGAGGGGGCAAACTCCTCAAGATGGGTAGTGACCATGGTGGACATTTAGAAGTTGGCCATCTTGGATACAACTTTTGTTTTTTCAATAGGAAGAGGGTCATGTGACACATCAAACCTATTGGTAATGTCACAAGAAAAACAATGGTGTGCTTGGTTTCAACGTAACTTGAAACCATCACTTTTGTTGCTCCAACAGTCTTGGAGGGATCCATCCAATGTGGGTTAGTGTCAGACCAATAGCGGTGTTTTGTTTGTTAACTTCACCATTCACATAAAAGTTTGCCTCATCACTGAACAAAATCTTCTGCGTGAACTGAGGGTCCTGTTCCAATTTGTGTTTTGCCCATTCTGCAAATTCTGTGCGCCGATCTGGGTCATCCTCGCTAAGATGCTGCAGTAGCTGGAGTTTGTAAGGGTGCCATTTGTGAGTAGCTAATATCCGCCGAAGGGATGTTCAACTAATGCCACTCTCCAGTGACATGCGGCGAGTGCTACGCTGTGGGCTCTTGCTGAATGAAGCTGGGACAGCCACTGATGTTACTTTATTAGTGACAGTTTTCTTGCATCCACATTTAGGCAAATCCAACACTGAACCAGTTTCACGAAAGTTAGCAAGCAGTTTGCTAACTGTAGCATGGGAGATGGGTGCTCTTCGTAGGGTGTCTTGCATTGAAATCTGCTGCAATGACTCGGTTAATGCGTTCACCAGATATCAACACAATTTCGATCCGCTCCTCACGCGTTAACCTCTTCGACATGTCAATGGCTGTGAACAAAGAGAAACTTGTAAATAACTCAAAGAATAAAGTTACGTTGAAACCAAGCACACCATTGTTTTTCTTGTGACATTACCAATAAGTTAAATGTGTCACATGGCCCTCTTCCTATTGAAAAAACAAAAGTTGTATCCAAGATGGCCGACTTCTTGTTATACTGACAGACAGAACCTAGAGAACAGTCTGTAGATGTGTAAAGCTGGTAGAGACAGACCCTAAAAGACTGGCAGCTGTAATTGCAGCAAAAGGTGGTTCTACAAAGTATTGACTCAGGGGGCTGAATAATTACACACACCCCACTTTGCAGTTATTTATTTGTAAACAATGTTTGGAATCATGTATGATTTTCGTTCCACTTCTCAAGTGTGCACCACTTTGTGTTGGTCTTTCCTGTGGAATTCCAATAAAATTGATTCATGTTTGTGGCTGTAATGTGACAAAATGTGGAAAAATTCAAGTTTGCAAGCCACTGTAACAGCCGTGATAAAATATCTCAAAAAATCTCATAAAAATGCTGTTTAAACAGACTTACTACTTATAACTTTAAATGTTATTATGTCACTCTTTCTTTTTTCTTTTCCTCCTTTTCCTTCTATGTTTTTATCAATGGATTTTTGTTTGACTAGTGTCTTTAAATACATTTAATGTTTTTACTCCATGCTAGGCAGAAATATTCCATTAAATAACAGCTTAACACATTGTTTTCAGATAAAATAGCTAAATCCTGACTGGACTGTCTTAAATTTGAAAGAATTTAAAACATTTAAAATGTATTATTATTTTTGTAATGTTTAAGGTAAGGGTGACAAACCATTTACTGGTTTGTAATTTTTCCACTGGTTCTTCTCTTTTGTCAATAGGGGGCAGCACTAACATGAATATCCTACTCAGTACCTACAATGCCCAAAATATATATATATTTTTTTTTTGTTGTGGAGGAGTTGGGGGTTTTTTTGGAAACAAATGAAGTGCCTGTGAAAGGTATTTTTCGGGGCAGATTTGCCCAAACAGGGAAAATACAAATGTCAAAAGTACAGACTGTCTGAATGTATAGAAAGACCGAATACACTGTCCAGTTAAAATGCACCCACTTTGGTTACATGAGGCTTCCAAATAAATGTCATGGGGAAAATACTTCTTGTTTTGGAAACAGTAAAGGTAAAAAGAAAGTACACACTCTTTAAGTTCTAATTTTATATCAAGTCATAATAAAAAATAAACCGGTCCTTAAAAAGTCTTAAAATGAAGCAAAGTATTTATCAATATTAGTAGTATTATATAAGTATTAAAGTAAACTGCTTGCCTTTTCATAAAAGTCACCACACGACACTGCTGTAGCGATATGATTACAAGACATTAGAGCTCCAGGTTTGAATTTCATCGTCCTCTTTTCTGCATCTCTCAGTCCATCGCCACAGCAGACATGGACCATGCCCAGCTGGAGGCCTTCCTCACAGCTAAGACCAAGAAACAAGGTGGTGGTGGCTTGAGCGCTGAACAGGCCGCTGCACTCTCTCGTTTCTGGAAGAGCCAACGAGTTCGAGTTAAGGAAAGTTTGGTGGCTCATAGCCGCTGGGAGCCCAGCCTCAGGGGCCTTTCCTGGAGAGTGGATCTCCAGGCTGCAGCCAGCAGACGGGGAACAGCTCACAGCGGCCCAGTTGCCCTGGTGGAGCTCGAGCTCGGCAGAACAGGACAAGTAAGCTATAGTTCCAGTTTCTTTTTTTTTCTTTGACGCAAACTATCATTCTTAGCTTCCAAGGATGTAGTGAGGTGCTAATTTACGTTCGCCTGTTTTCATTTTTGTTAAAAATAAATGTGCCACCATAATTAAAACTATAAAGTATCCTAAATGACTTTTCTAATAGTACAATCCCATTATCTCCAAAAGTTTATTCTGTTCATCTGGACGTAGCGTTTTCAGTGGGAGAAACGTTTCGTCACTCATCCAGGTGACTTCTTCAGTCTCAGCTGACTGCAGGTTTCCCCAACCTTATAAACAGTACATTTGCATAATGACTGAAACCAGCCCGGAAGGACAGTTCCTTCATCGTAATTGTGCAAATTCTCATGACCACTGATCAAAGCCCACTGATCAATGGCCATGAGTACCATTTACAGAGAGTTGGAGATTGGCTGCAATCACAGCATTGTAAGATGGTGAAAGATGTATCCCTAGTGGGCTGGTTTCATGCATCAAGACATACAATCACATTAGAAAGACCAAAAATTTTATATATGCCGATTAATTATGCTTCAGGATTTGAGTTTGTGGATGTTTGACAGTATTTTCTCAAAGCAGAGCTGGAGCACAAATGATCATATTTTGAAAATTACATTAGCTCAAGGGGAAAAGTGAGGGCTATAATATGTTACAAAGGACTGAAACACTATTAAGATGCCTTTAGTAGCCTGAAATCATTAGAGATATAAATATAGGTATACTGAGTCTCAGACGCCACACAGAAAGACTCTAGACTGGATTCAAACCCAGGAACTTCTTGTTGTGGGGTATGGTACTAACCACCGCACCGCTTCTTTACTGCAGCACTCCACACATTTATGAGTTTATTGCTAGCAGTTCAAATGGACATGTAAGCGCATTTACACATCATAAAGCCAGGGGAGAGTCATGAATTGTTTTGGCCTTTCGATATGGGTGGGACGTAACTATACTCTGTCCAGTAGAGTTTGACAGCAATAGCTTTGTCATTTACTGTTATGCAACATCAACTCTAAGTACCCATTTATGATTTGACTGATATCCATTCCATAACTGGTTCTGTAACCTTTGGGGTGAAACGGAGAGGCCATTATGGAACTAACCTCATGGTGGTGTCATTCTGTCTAATTAACTACAGCTGAAAGAGCAGGTTTCAGTGTGGCCGTACTTTAGTGAGCCTCAGTCCCATGAGAGGTTTAAATTTACTCTGTGCCCTGAACAGTTTTAGAGCTGAAAAAAAGTTCTGTAAAAGTGGTAATATTAGCTTACCTTTGTAGTGTATTCAAATGTATATTCAGATTTAGGAGAAGGAGCATTGCCTTCTTTAAATTTTGGATCACTGTTGGATATTTGCTTTTTAAACAATTCAATATTGTAATAATAGAAAAAAAATCCCCAAATCTATACTGCCACAGGCACTTCTACCTCTACATAAAGAGACTGTAAAGAATTTAAAAGTTGGATCATGTCTATGGCCTTGATTTTTTGCCTCTGATTGATTTAAGCTGTTGTTGCTTTGTGAAGAAATCCATTTGTCAGTAAAAGTCATAGGAAATCACATTTACGTTGCTATGAGCCCACATGACCGTGTGTGTGTGTGTGTGTGTGTGTGTGTGTGTGTGTGTGTGTGTGTGTGTGTGTGTGTGTGTGTGTGTGTGTGTGTGTGTGTGTGTGTGTGTGTGTAATCAGCAATGTCCAGACTACCAGGATTTCTGGTCCTCTGAGTTTCTGCAACATATACATTATATACTGCATGTATATAATGCAGTATATACATGCAGCTGCATTTTTACGTGCAGCTATGATTCTTCTACCTGCAAGAACTATTACTGTTTTATCATGAAGTACCCTTGTAGTTCTAGTTCTTGTCACATTTGGAACCAAACTAGGTATGCTATATGTCCTCATGGATGTACAGACTGCAGTCAAATAATTGCTTTAGCACCATACAAAGCTGATATTAATGTGTAGAGTTGATGCTGGTGTCATTTCCTATGACTTGCTGTCTGATTTAGAATGCATAATGACCTGACAGGAAGTGGCTCAGTCAACCATGGTGTAAATGCCAAAGCCTGCATGACTGTTTTTCATATATTTTGGATACAGAATGAAACATAGTTTAAGATGACTTAATGTGCTGTACTGCTGAGCAGCTGCTGACACTGAGGAGTCTATTCTTTTTGGTGTATTTTTTTCTGCAGGTTCCTTAGCTCAGAGAAAGCAGATCGGCAGACCAGAGCAGCACATACTCTCAATGTGCACAATGCCACTGAACTACTGTTCAGCAGTATTATTGCCCCATTCAAGTCAATTTAAATGTAGCTAATAAAAGCTCAAAGGCTGAGGAAGAAGGTGGAGGAGACTGGTAACTGGTGAAATGAATTGCTAAGGTGTCTTTCAAGTCTTGAATCCCAGAAAAGGCCTAATGATAGGATGCCCATCATCACTGCAGAATCCCCTGTTTTTCTTCAGCTTCACACTAGGAATTAAACCAAAGTTTTTCTATTTTTATCCGCAATCACTGAATGATGCGCAGGGAATATTATATTGCTTCCTTCAGTAATTATTTATTGATTAAGAAGTAGACTGAATCATTGTTTTGGAAAATAATATTTAAATTCTTTTTGGAAATATTATGTTCAATCCGTTCACTGGCCTCTAACACCTCTGTTCTTTTGTCTTTCTCAGGACTCAGAGTTTGTGTGTCTGGAGTTTGATGAAACCAAAGTCAATCAAGTGTTGAAGAAGATGGCTGACATCCAGGAGAGCATCGACAGAATTGTTCACAGTACCTGAAAGTACTTCCTGAAAGTTTATCTCAAACAGCAGAGACAGAAAGATAACTGTGACTAAGAGTGCTGTGTTGAGGCAAAGTTTTTCCACTTGCTCACAGATTTATCAGAAATGAAAGTGGTGTGTACGTGTACAGATATACACACCACTATCAATTCTAGTAGATAATACTTGTGGTCGTCCTCTGAGAATAAGTGGTCATTAAAGAAGAACTATTCCTCTTTTTGCAATATAGTTTGCAAAGCTTTGGGATTCTGGGATTATGAGAAATAAGAAATGCGATGAAACTAAAGTGAACAAAAGCAATGTATTACAATATAATTGTAGATATTGTAAAACTAAATAAGAAGTATCCCACGTGTAATTGTTTTTTTATTATTATTAAAAGGGACAGAAAGATTAAGTTGTTTTTTTTGTTTGTTTTTACTATTAATATTTTTTTTAATCTCTATCTCCTTCAGCATCACCTTCATGGCCATAGTGTTGGATAAAACTGTGTTTAAACTACATGTGAAGTAATAATTGGAAACTCTTTCAACTGTCTACAGCCTGACAAAACTAAATCAGAAATGTGCAAATTTCATTAGCCAGATTCAGGTATCAAATTAGGGTATTATTACATTCAGTTGTTTGTATGAACATGCTAACTGTATCTGGTAGCAAGGAACATATTTCCCAAACAGTAATTAGCTAAAAAATCATAACTAATGCTAATCGTGACATCTTCAGTTAAAATGACTAAAGTAGATTTTTAATTCATGTAAAATAAATTACATGGGGTGTATCCTACCAGTGACCGGACAAAGCTGGACTGAAAGACGGCACAGAGGCACTAATCATGGCAGCACAAGAACAAGCTCTGAGCACAAGATCAATAGAGGCTGGGGTCTATCACACCAGGCAAGACCCCAGGTGCAGGCTGTGTAAAGATGCACGTGAGACAATCCAGCACATAACAGCAGGGTGCAAGATGCTAGCAGGCAGGGTATACATGGAACACCATAATCTAGTGGGCGGCATAGTGTACAGGAACATCTGTGGGACTTCCAGGTACAGACGGACATAAATGGTGGTGGGTAACCAACTGGACATAGTAGTGGTAGACAAGCAAAGGAAGACGGCCGTAGTGATGGATGTAGCGATACCGAACGACAGCAACATCAGGAAGAAGGAACATGAGAAGCTGGAGAAGTACCAGGGTCTCAGAGAAGATATGGAAGGTGAAGATAACAGTGGTCCCAGTGGTAATCGGAGCACTAGGTGCAGTGACCCCTGAGCTCCCAGGCCTCTGGTAGAGGACCCAAGCTTGAAGAACAAAGACTAATATATATATACACACACACACACACACACACACACACACACACACACACACGGATAGTAATCAGACTCTTATCATATGATGTTAGATAAGCACAGAACAGTCCAAAGGTAAAGGGGGAAGTCTGTTACACAGATAAGCACTGCACAATTTTTTTTTCCTCAAGCAAATAAAAGAAGTTTAGGTTACTTTAAGGCAGTGGTAATAAACTTCAGCCCCGTACATTCTTGGTGTTTCATTAACTCTTAAGAGGAAAAAAACCTTCAGAATGTCAGTGCTTGATTTCCAGTGGCACATCAAAACTGTAATACAATAATACAAATCTTTATGCAGGGATAAGGAGAAAAGACTGTTCGTTTCATTTGGTGTGTTTAAAATAACAACGTCATGCTGCAATTCAACCTTTGGTACAGTACTTAATATAGTTTTATACATATTTAAATGTAAACCTGGAGACCTTACATCTTCAAAGATGGTTAATACATGTAACATTAAATCATTATACTTCTCTGATGTCTTTTGACCTTTCATTTAGTCCTAAACAGTGTTCTTGACATTATACTACTGTTGCTGCTGCACCTCATGTAGTTCTGTAGGATGGATCTGAGACAGCATAAAAGAAGTCTTAACTTGATTCTTCATCTTGCATCAGTCCTTAATCTTCAGATGTAATTATTGTGTTTTTAACTGCAGTAACACCAAAAAGCTAGCATTCACATTTTCACAGCAACCATCTCTAGACAATCCATAGTTTGGAGAAAGGCTAGTAAGACTACTAAAAGTCCAACTTAGTATGTTTAAAACAAACAAAGAAAAAACATGAAGTGGCCTGGAGAATGATTTTTACCAGGTGGTTATTATCCTGATAATAAATGTGAACAGGTGAAATAGTCTGGTTTTTTGACTGACATGACATTATAACAGTATAAAGTATTTTGGAAGATTCTTTCTAAAATGTCTCGAGGATCCCTAAACCAAAGATAGAGATGGCCAAAACAAAGATTTTATTTATATATATATATATATATAAAATCTTATATATATATATATAAATATAAATATAAAATTCTATATATATATATATATATATATATATATATATATATATATATATATATATATATATATATATAATGTCTGTTTTGCCAGACTTGGGCTCAGAACAGCAACCAACAACCAGTGGTGAATCAAATCTTTTGTCGAGGGTAAGCACGGCCTAAACTTGTTTGATTTTTGATTTGCATACACTTTTGTTTCCATCCACATTTCCGAAATGCAAATTTCTCTCATATTCCCGGCTCTGAAACATTTTAAGTACTAACTGAACTGCCGGATAGTCTGTTGAGCCCGAAGCCTCTATCCAGCCTCTTGAGCACGCTCTTGAAATTAGGGAGGAGTCACTACCCGCAACACACAGGAAGGACGGACGCTTCTAGTATTAGCCTTGTTGAGGATGGTACAAAGGAGATATTTGCGAGGTTTGATCATCTCTGATAATTTACGAAGCGTCCGATTCGCACATTTTAAAGGGGATTCTGGAACGCCGAGGTGTCTAAAACGCGTTCCCTCCGCAGGATGAGGAAGGTGCAGGTGCCGAAGTAGTAGCCTGATGATCAGAGCTATAGATAGAGCGAATCTGAAAGGTATGTGTGTTACTAATTTAAATAGCTGCCAGAAATTTCCAGTCTTATGCGACATGAAAGGACAGCTGTGCGCTCTTCAAGTGAATGTCTGCGGTCTAAAAGTAGGAATTAAAATAAAAGTGTCGTGAACTTTTGTTTTCTTTTGGTTTTTGCATTTTTGTTTTTCTCGAGCAGTGATCCTATAAAACATAGGTGGACAGATGTGTTTAACAATTTGCACATTATGGTCATTCTCAACAGATCACAAGTTCTACAGGGAGTGCAGAATTATTAGGCAAGTTGAATTTTTGAGGAATAATTTTATTATTGAACAACAACCATGTTCTCAATGAACCCAAAAAACTCATTAATATCAAAGCTGAATGTTTTTGGAAGTAGTTTTTAGTTTTAGGGGGATATCTGTGTGTGCAGGTGACTATTACTGTGCATAATTATTAGGCAACCTAGCAAAAAACAAATATATACCCATTTCAATTATTTATTTTTACCAGTGACACCAATATAACATCTCCACATTCAAAAACAAAACAAAAACAAATCAGCGACCAATATAGCCACCTTTCTTTGCAAGGACACTCAAAAGCCTGCCATCCATGGATTCTGTCAGTGTTTTGATCTGTTCACCATCAACATTGCGTGCAGCAGCAACCACAGCCTCCCAGACACTGTTCAGAGAGGTGTACTGTTTTCCCTCCTTGTAAATCTCACATTTGATGATGGACCACAGGTTCTCAATGGGGTTCAGATCAGGTGAACAAGGAGGCCATGTCATTAGTTTTTCTTCTTTTATACCCTTTCTTGCCAGCCACGCTGTGGAGTACTTGGACGCGTATGATGGAGCATTGTCCTGCATGAAAATCATGTTTTTCTTGAAGGATGCAGACTTCTTCCTGTACCACTGCTTGAAGAAGGTGTCTTCCAGAAACTGGCAGTAGGACTGGGAGTTGAGCTTCACTCCATCCTCAACCCGAAAAGGCCCCACAAGCTCATCTTTGATGATACCAGCCCAAACCAGTACTCCACCTCCACCTTGCTGGCGTCTGAGTGGGACTGGAGCTCTCTGCCCTTTACCAATCCAGCCACGGGCCCATCAAGACTCACTCTCATTTCATCAGTCCATAAAACCTTAGAAAAACCAGTCTTGAGATATTTCTTGGCCCAGTCTTGACGTTTCAGCTTGTGTGTCTTGTTCAGTGGTGGTCGTCTTTCAGCCTTTCTTACCTTGGCCATGTCTCTGAGTATTGCACACCTTGTGCTTTTGGGCACTCCAGTGATGTTGCAGCTCTGAAATATGGCCAAACTGGTGGCAAGTGGCATCTTGGCAGCTGTACGCTTGACTTTTCTCAGTTCACGGGCAGTTATTTTGCGCCTTGGTTTTTCCACACGCTTCTCGCGACCCTGTTGACTATTTTGAATGAAACGCTTGATTGTTCGATGATCACGCTTCAGAAGCTTTGCAATTTTGAGACTGCTGCATCCCTCTGCAAGATATCTCACTATTTTTGACTTTTCTGAGCCTGTCAAGTCCTTCTTTTGACCCATTTTGCCAAAGGAAAGGAAGTTGCCTAATAATTATGCACACCTGATCTAGGGTGTTGATGTCATTAGACCACACCCCTTCTCATTACAGAGATGCACATCACCTAATATGCTTAATTGGTAGTAGGCTTTCGAGCCTATACAGCTTGGAGTAAGACAACATGCATGAAGAGGATGATGTGGACAAAATACTCATTTGCCTAATAATTCTGCACTCCCTGTAATTAAGATAATTGCATTTAATTGTTTTTAACACAAAACCAGGAGACGGCAAGGTGGTGTCAGGGAAAAATTTAGCTTGGCAGGGTCAGATGGTAGTCTGAAATGAAGACAGATATAAGGATTAAGTTGAAGAAAGAAGAATATTGCGCAGAGTTCAGGGAAGACTTGAAACAGGCTCTGGGTGGTAGGGAAAAGTTACCTGATGACTGGGAAAGTACAGCTGAATTAGCAGCTAAGAAGGTATTTATCCTTTGGACAGAAGAAAGAGCACAAACAGACTTAGTAGCGGAATGAAGTACAGGGAAGTATTTAAAGGAAGAGTTTAGCAACAAAAAAATGGGATCGTCAGGAAAACTATGTAAGTGGAAAGGTTATTGGGACGCTAGGCACACAGCAAAGGGAGAGGTGGTAAAGAAGAAGGCTCATACTGAGTTCGATGTGAGACTGAATACTAATGAAGAAGAAAAGGACTACTATTGATTTTCTTTAGACAGCGAGATCGGGTTGGGAAGGATGTGCAACAGGTTGGGGTGTTCCAAAAAGTTGATTCTGTTCATCTGGACGTAGCGTTTTCAGTGGGAGAAGTGTTTCATCACTCATTTCATGATGATGGATTTCCTCGCCTGTATGAATGAGAATGTACCAAGACAGGTTAAAGTGATTAAGGACAGGAATGGAAATGTGCTAACACGGAAAGCAAGTGTACTGAGAAGATGAAAGGAGTAATTTGAGGAGTTCCTGAATCAAGAAAATTAGAAAGGGTGATGTGCAGAGCTGTAGCAACTTCAGAACCAAACCATGAAACTAAAGGAAGTTGTTAAGGAGAGAGTTGATGATCAGTGAGCAGCCGTATGGTTTCCCCTTTTGTTTGCTATGGTGATGGACAGACTAGACGTTCTAAAGCCGTCTACCGACTACCGTCTGATGCTGCCAAGCTACAATTTTTGTAGCAGATGAGGTCAGACATTGTAGACTCCGTAGACTGTGATGTTTACACTGCAATCTGTAGTGAGAGTAGAGAGCTGTCAGAGGTTAGGTTGGAGAGGTTGAGCTGGAAAAATGAAGCCACTAGAAGCAAGACAGAATACAAGTACCTGAATGAGATGGAAACAGGTCTGACAAGGAAGTTGTAAGGAGTAGAGCAAGTGAAGATTGATGAGGGTCAGCCATCCAAAGATCAGGACAATATTAGAAATCAATATATCAGAGGGACAGCTCAGGCCAGGCATTTGAGACAAAGTTAGAGAGGCAAGTTTGACACGTACAGTGGCGTGATAGTGGATATATTGAATAAGGGACGTTAAATATGGAGCTGCAAGGCAGGAGAAAAGGAGAGAGACCACAGAGAGCATTCATGGATGTACTGAAAGAGGACATACAGAGGACTGGTGCGGCAGAGCAGGATGCTATGAATAGGGTGAAATGGAGGCAGATGTTCCGGTAAAAATAGCACCGATGTGTCACTTATACTTTTAAAAGTAAAATTTTAGCAAAATAAACAGCATTACAGTAAGATGAATGATTCGAATTTTTAAAGAGTCTCTTATCTTGTCCAGTTTAACGTTTATTTATTTATTTTCAAATAAAAGCCTTTTGTATATTTTATTAAAATGATCTGAAGATAGGAGCATATTGATTGCAGTCTATAATTAGTGAAATGAGGAATGCTTTCATTTTGCTCTTTGCCTATTGGTTGAGAAGCTTGTATTTAAATAATACATAAATAAAATAGGTACTGTTGCAGCACTAAATATTGCACAATGAAAGTGGGAAGAGCAAAAAGGTTAGAAGGGGCTCAATGCTCCACACCTCTACAAGAGATTAGTGAGGAGGAATGTTCAGGAAAGAATAATGAGTTTTTGCATCTTTATAGACCGGACCAGCTACAAAACAGCATTTTAAGCCTAAACACCAGGAAAAAGGACTATTTTCAAATTGTTCCAATAGCTTGCAATTTATTTATTTTTACCAGTATTAAAGTAATAACATCATTATCAATCAAATTAGTAAGATCGATCTGGATTTTCACCATATTCATCAAATAAGTTTATCTTACTTAAAGGAGTTTGTGAATAATTAAGCTCACACGTGAACATACCCGACAGGTTGCACCCTCATTATTAGCTGTAAGCTGTAAATCAGGTTTGACTTCAAATGAACTTTAACAGACTGTGCGTTGGGTGTTTTGTTTTTTTCTTTGTTTGTGTTTTCCCAGTGTGATGAGCGTACACAGATGCATGCAGGTTTATTTACTACTCGAGTCTCGTATTAAAAACTCACGCATAACCATAAACATTGACTGTTAGATCAGTTGTCTGAGTAATACATGTATATCCATATATAAGCTTTGTAAAAGTTGAAAAACACAACCTACCAAATATATACTGTAGGTGTACTACTACCAGAGAAACAGTGACATCAAGTGGTACATATGTAAATTTTATTTATGAGCAGGCAGTACACAGATTGGTGTCATGTGCACTGCTGAATTGAAAATGTGTGACTCCTGTCTGTCAAGATGAGTGGAAAAATGTTCGCAGGCCATTCCTCGAGGATTAGGAATGAAAATGGAGCTTTGTGTGCAGCCAGTCACAGTTCTAAAACAAAACCAGGGGAAATTAAGCTTGCCACTGGCCTGCTGTCACAGATTCGTTCAGTTTTACTCCTGTTCGCGCCTTCAGGCTCAACTTAATAGTCTCCATGTTTCCAAGTGCTCCTTTGTATCCTGGCTTTGTTGTAAGTTTGCCTGTAATGCAATGACACTGCAGATGTTTTTTTCTCTCTATCTTTTTGAAAACAGAATATCTTTTCTCATGTCTAGATGCAGAGGGGAGGCAGCATGGCTCTATGTCGCCATAAAATAAAGGCTTTCTGCTACATGATGATGCTTAACGTCTTCATCTGTGTCGTGATAAGCGTGTCATGGAACCTTGGACACAAGAGAAGTGGCCATCACAAAGTTCACATCCCATCCAAGAGGTTTTGGAGTAAACACATACTGAATGAAACCTTCTGGAACAAGGAGCAGCAACGCTTGGATTTCATTTACAACCCCAACTTTAACTCTGTATTCTCCAGCACGTCACGCAACACACTGCCAGATTGGCTCAATGACACTGGACCTCTGGACCCGTGTGAACCGGACTACAGAGTGCCCAGGCAAATCTTTGACTACAACTCCCTACCAAAGCAATTCCAGGACTTTCTTTTGTACATGCGTTGTAGGACATACCCTATGTTAATAAATCAGCCCCATGTTTGTAGTGAAAAACCTTTCCTACTGCTGGTTGTCAAGTCTTTGATCTCTCATTTTGAAAGGCGGCAGACCATTCGTGAAACTTGGGGACAAGCAGGAGTCTTAGCCAACCAGACTGTGGTAACAGTGTTCCTGCTAGGCAACGTCTTGTCGTCAGACCACTTCCCAGACTTGCAGGAGTTACTGAGTCATGAGGCAAAGCTTCACAAAGACATACTTCAATGGGACTACAGAGACAGCTTCTTAAACCTAACTCTGAAAGAGGTCCTCTTTCTGGAGTGGTTTACCAAACACTGTCCTCAAGCTCGGTTTGTTCTTAAGGGCGATGACGACGTCTTTGTGAACACCTTAAGAATTGTTAACTATCTGGAAGGCCTGCCAGAGGGTGAGTCCAAGGATTTGTTCATAGGCGATGTTATAATAAATGCTGGGCCACACAGAGACAAAAAACTTAAATACTTTATCCCAGAGAGTGTGTTTGTGGGTAACTATCCTCCCTATGCTGGCGGTGGAGGATATCTGTACTCTGGGGAGTTGGCGGTACGCCTACACAATGTATCTCAGCAAGTAGTGCTGTTTCCCATTGATGATGTATACACTGGGATGTGTCTCAAGAAGCTGGGTCTTGTTCCTGAGAAGCACAATGGCTTCAAGACATTTGACATTGAAAAGAAGTATAAAGACAATCCTTGTATCCACAGGAACTTGATGCTGGTTCACAGCCGAACTCCACAGGAGATGTTAACAATTTGGCCCTTCATTGTCCAACCCGAGCTGGACTGCCAGTGAAAGCTTTATTAATGGCTGTTTGCAATACTGAGTTTGTCAGTCATTTTCAATCCTTCCATTCTATATTTTTCAAATCAAAGTTCAACAGGGTTGCTACTTTTTATTTACAGGATATGTGTTGCATTTTACTGTTTAATTTTATATGGAGCATTTTTTTTCTGAATCTGTAGTGTTCTCTGTCAGTCATGTTGAAAGAGACATTTGATTCTCATCTGATGCATTTTTAAAATTTGAGTCATTCAGTATGTTTAAAAACACAATAAACGATTTGAGAACTAACATGAAGTACAAATGAACATCCTGAAAATGAATGATGTTAGTACATTTTCCTGATTTAAAAAAAATGCATAACTATATGTTGATTTATATACAGTACTGATATCAGCACCTGCCTACAAGGTTGAAAAGTGAATTGCATTAGTAATAATATATAAAATCATTTCTGTTCATTTAATGACATGTATGTCTGTTCCATTCACAGATGACTCTTTGTGAAGCTTTGCCCCCAACATTTTTTTAATCATTAAAACATTCCAGTGTCTCTGAATTTTGTATGCTTCCTCAAGATGCAGCAAATTTATACAAAATAACGTATTTTATGTCAACAGTATAAAGGGCATACATTAACCTCACTCGACTAAAGTTAAAACAGATGTAATCTGAAAAAAACAAAGTCCAAAGATATTAAAGATATTAAATTAGCTTCACAAGCAAGTTCCACATAGTGAGGCTTTCTTTGCATTAGCTGTCTTGACAGATCCTGAAATCAGTATCAGATTTCTTTGGGAGCTCAGGCTTTCTGCTTCAGGCTCTGGGCACATACACAAAAGGAGCCATTTGATGTGCCACAAAAAATGTATCAGATGAGAATCAACTGTATCTTTCAACATGAGTGACAGAGAACACTAAAGATTCAGAAAAAAATGCTGCATATAATATAAACAGTAAAATGCAACACATATGCTGTAAATAAAATACAAGAGTAATGTGCTGTTTTGTCACTGATCCAGGTGACTTGTTTTAGCTTGAGTTATATTTATTTTACCGCTCTGTGTGCTCTTGGTGTTGCTCTTTATTTCTAACACAACTTCTAACAGCTTTGTATTTGAACTCTGAAACTTTGATACATTTAATCAGTAAATGTTACTCAGTGTGTTCAGGTCTGATACTCTTCTGTAGCCTAATAAAGAAGACATTTAGTTTGTAGTCAGATGAAAGTGAAATAAATGTTATTGATTGGAAATTATTGACCATAAATCATCTACAAATGCAACAATTCAATTTTCTAATCTATGTTTTATTAGCTGCATTAAAACAATGTTAAAGAGACTTGGCAAACAGACCAAACTTTTATACAGTTTTTGCAATTGAATACATGCATTACACATGACATACCGTTTGCACTGCTGTAATTTCACAACTGGGCTTCATTTAGTGATGTGAGTAAAGTGAGGTTAAACAGATTGCATATACAGATACCTTCAGCAGAGAATCTATAAAAGACAAGAAACATTCTTTAAATAAAAGTATTATTGATCATGTGATGCTTCCCGCCAAATTTAAACTGAAATTCAGAACTTAACCTGGAACCTGGTATAAGTTATGCGGTAAGTATATGTTACCATGGTGATTTATGCAGGCAAAAAGAAAGTCACCTTCATAACAAAGAACACTCTTACTATAAGCTCAACATAGCTCACTACTTTGTTGATATTTGTTGTTTAATGGATGTGTTTGCTGGTAAACAGTCCAGCTGTTATTTCTGTTTTCATCCCACTTTTATTTGGTCAAATCCCAATCTTCACCACTTGCAAATAAAATGAACAAAAGCAGGTAACTCAATAAGGTAATAGAGCTTGAGCATCAAACTGTGGCTGAACGTTTGCACGTGTATAAAATTTAGACCTACATTTTTAGATTTGCAGATGGTGCTACATTTAGTAGATGAAATAATAGATCAGACATTGTCTGAATAGCACTGCTATTACTCCAATATAACAGCCGTGCCACAAAAAAAAGAAACAAAAAACATGATTATCATGTGCATGTTTGCTTTTACATTTTCTTCTTAATACACATTTTCACTTTTCACACATCTGAAGGCTCTTATAATTCAAAGCATCATAAAAACATGGATAAAAGCATCAGGGAAAATATAAGCAGGAGTCTTATTTTTAATATCACTGCATTTTAAATGAATTGCTTTTCAGCCTTAACTGACGTGACTAAGTTAAAGAAATGAAATAAAACTTAAAGTGATCCGACACTGGGTGTTGCTGTGAATTCAGGTTTATCTGACAGAAACATGACACATATTTTCACAGACTTCCATAATTCAATTTATGAAATATTATTTTAACTGTTTTTCTTGCTTATTTGTATGTGTGTATTTGAATAAGCAGTAAAGTGAGTTTGGCTCATATGCAACAATTTTCCATGGTTGACTGAATAAGGATTAAGTTTTTTTGACATTGTTTTAGTCATTACCCCCACCCATCTGCTCCTCACGCTCAATAAATGAAAACTGTCTCTTGTTATTGTGTGTTGTTGTGGTAAATTTTAAACTAATCTGTATTTGAATGTCCGACAATAAAGTGTTCTAATCTCATAAATTATAACATGTGATTTTTGGTATTTTTCTTTTCCTGGAAAAAATGTAAAGAAATAGTTTATGAAACTCAAACACAGCAAATATCTGTAGCAGATAAAACCCCTAAATAAAATAGGTGCAGTGTCTTCAGCTTTGTCTTTAAAGCAGAAAGCACCAGCCCAATAATAAATATTACAGTGCCCTCTGCTGGATAAAATGGATATTACTAGCCAGTAAAAGGAAACTTAATCAACTAACTGATGCAATTCACCTGCAGAGACAGGAAAGGAAATAGCCGTTGAACTGAATCTGAGAGGATCAGATTGACTTTGTTGCTTCCCAAATTTCAGTAATTTAACTGCATACGAAAATGAAACAAACAGCCGTCATAAACTTCAAGTGTGTGCTGCTCATATTTTTGTTGACATTTGACTGTAATGCACAGGTAAGTTATTGTGCCTCACTGATAACCTCTTTCGGATTTGTGTTAACAGCTTAATTGTGTATTTCTTTCTGTCTTTAGGTGAATGAAGAAGATACTGAGCAGCCTCCAGGTCAGTCTGCAAATGTTTAACTTGGGATTTTCTATGTTTATATGTCATTTTGTAAGTCTAAATGTTTCAGCCTGTGCTAACAAACTGATTTTAGTTTCATAAAACCTGATCACCAACGCACATGCAAACTTTCTTATGAAATATGACCATTATATTTGAGCTAATTGGATTCTAAATAAACTGTACCTCATTTTGGTAGTTTGACATCGCCCATATGGATTTATGGGAGAGCCTTCCTTATACAGGTTAATATTTGATTGTTTTTATTCAGTGTGAAAGTGAATGATGTTAGTATATTTTCCTGATTTTAAAATATAAAAATAAATAAATAAAATTAAAATGTTGATTATATACAGTACTGAAATCAGCACCTGCCAACTAGGTTGAAAAGTGAATTGCATTAGTAATAATATATAAAACCATTTCTGTTCATTTAATGACATATCTGTCTATTCGGTTCACAGAAGACTCTGGAGCTGAAAACACTTTCTTTGCCTTGCGGAGTTGTCACCGGTTGCTATACAGTGACAGTGGTGAGTTTTTCTCCCCGGACTACCTATGCTCCAATCCTCCCCTGTGGTGCAACTGGACAATCCAGGTGGATCCGAGTAAAAGGATTCATCTCTACCTGGAGGATTTGACCCCTGATGACATCTGTAACCTCAAACAGGACCAAATCCACATTGACGAGCCAGTTGGAGATCTAGCGGGACACAAAGTCTTACAGAAGTGCTGGCAAGAGGCCAAATACACCACCTCCTCCAATATTCTGTATGTAGTGCTACTGATTAGTGGCTGGCCCAACCCCCTGTACAGGGGCTTTTATGGTCGCTACCAGGCATTTGGATCGCCAGTCATTTATAACCCAGGGGAAGGCTTTACAGAGACAAGCAATGAGTCAGAGACATCTCCTGGGCTGATGGACTTCAGTGAATCTGGACCAGGTACAAAGAGGGAACAATTAGCAAGAATGACTGAGCTACCCACGGAGCCCAAGATGCCTGCAGACACAAACACTTGGGTGAGTGGACACAGTGTTAGTCTTAGATGCCTTACGCTGCCTGGCAATATTTCTAACGCTGGCAAAAGCTGCATATTCACTATTAAATTTAAGAATGGGTAAAAAGTAGTCAACGTGTCAATGTTAACGCATCATTGCGATTAACGCAATTAAAGGGTTTTTAACCCATATGGAGCACAGACTGGACAAACTGCCCGAAATGCGTTGACAGAGACATTTCAGGAATTTTGAGGCCTTCTGAGCTCCAGATGGGTTAATTGCCTTAAAAATTGTAATCTTGTAAATTGTGATGTTGGATTAATTGGTGTCAACGCTGACAGCCCTAGTAAAATTACTGTCTAATGTTAAAGATTTCACTCACTGATTAAAAACATGTAGAAAAAAGTTTAGCAACTTCTTTCAGTCCCTCTGCAGTGTAAATCATTTAGGCTTTTTTCTGCACTTTGTTTTGATTTTCTCTTTAATAAATTAACCTTCTAAAATATTTTTTTTTTTAAATGTCACATTTCATAAAATGTGACATTTTTTTTTAAAAAAGTCACATTTTTTTAACTTAATATATTTCATACATTAAGTGAGGTCACGTGATTACTGTGTGAGTTAGCATTAAAATCAAGGCTACATAGTTTTCTTTTATTTTCCCATCATTCATATAATCTATGTAGCTCAAGTAACAGTGATATAGCTGTTTGGTTAGCTGTAATGTGACAACTGAATTTAATACAATAGTGAATTACACATAAATGTAATATGATTACAATAAGATCCAACATACATTACTTAATCACCAAATTGCCATACTGGATACTGCTCAGGAACTTAAAACATTAATGGTAATGACCCTATATGTCAAAAGGAAACCCAGAGAAGTATAAACAACATGATAAAGACCAGGTAATCTTGCAAAAATCTGCAGTACTTGTTTTGTTTTTTATTTTGCTTGTAAATTCCAGAAAACATTGTAAAACTCTTCGTCTGTCCTTCTTCAGGTGGATGAAAACAACCCTCTGTCCTTGTCTGGGAACTACACGACCATGCCAACTGCATCAGTGTCCACCCAAAGGACCTTCAGATCAGGGAGAGGTATCACTCACACCCAACTAGAAGTCACCACTGACACTACAACAGCAAAACAAATGAATGAGGAGGAATCTACTGTTGCAGAGGATGAGACCACAACTCTGAGCTGGACAGTGAAGGAGAACATAACAGAGGTCAGTCAGACCTCAGTCCAGCTTTCCCCATCCTCTGACAGACAAGAAATACAGCACGCTGATCACACTCATCCTCAGCCTAACATGGTGGAGCCACTGTCGGACCACAGAGCGAACTGTGAGTACATTTGAACACAGACACTCTCCTGGATCTTTCAGGTACTCGTCTTTTTTGTATTGACTAACTGTAATTATATTGCTTGATATAGATATTTTATTTTTTTATTTTGAATCTTTATTTTGAACATGTTGAAAAAGTATAAAAAAAATAGAATTAAAAGAGACAAATGAACAAAGCAAACAAAAGGAAAACGAGCAACCACAACTCCAAATAACGTCCATGTTCAAAAAGGAGCAGGAAGAAGCATAAGCTTATTTAATCCCACCCCTTTTCCACTATCTAGTATCAATAGACTACAGAAATACCTCCTTGCAATTACATTATGTTATGTGTAATTTTTTTTTTTTTTTAATATATACACATATGTTTCTATCTATCCATACATACGTATATACACACATACGCACATATACACATTTTCAATAACCCCATTAACACCTCAAGGATACACAACCTACAATTATTTATTTATATATATATACACATACATATATACCCATACCAACAAACCCGTGCATGCGCACACACATGAAAATATTAGACAAGAACACCCTATCAAATCTCTACCTTTTCCCTGTACCCTGTAAAAACCATATCCTTAAACCGCTTTTTAAACTGCGCCATGCTTGGACATTGCTTCATATCTTTACTTAGTCTGTTCCACAGCTTCACTCCACACACAGAGATGCAAAAACTTTTTAATGTTGTACGGATACGAGGATGTTTTAAATTTAATTCCCCCCTCAAATTGTATCCCCGTTCCCTTTTAGAAAACATTTTTAGAATATTGTCAGGAAGCAGGTTATTTCTTGCTTTACATATAATTTGTGCTGTGAGAAAATGAACCAGATCTGTGAATTTTAGAATTTTTGATTTTAAGAATAGTGGATTTGTATGATCTCTGTAACCAGTTTTATGGATTATCCTTATGGCCCTTTTTTGTAATCTAAAGATTGATGATAGCGAACATTTGTAAGTATTGCCCCAAACCTCTGCACAGTAATTCAAATACGGTGCAATCAGGGAACAATAGAGAATGTGGAGTGATTTGTGGTCCAGAATGTGTTTTACTTTACTCAAGATTGAGACACTTCTTGAAATTTTGTTATGTATATGATTTATATGAGACTTCCAGTTTAATTTATCATCTATAATCACACCAAGAAACTTATGTTCAAGTACTCTTTCAATTTCCACACCATCTACATGAATCTGCACTTGTGCATTTCTAAGGGAATTCCCAAATAAGATAATTTTAGTTTTACTTAGATTTAGCGATAGTTTGTTCCTGTTAAACCATTTTTTAATTTTGCACATTTCTGAAGTAATTGTATCCAGCAGCTCCTTTAGATTCCCCCCAGAACAAAAAATATTTGTGTCATCTGCAAATAATACTAATTTTAATATATCAGATGCCTTACAAATATCATTTATATAAATAATAAATCATTTTGGACCCAGTACAGAGCCTTGTGGAACACCACAAGCAATGTCCAAGCATGATGAGGAATGGACACCCAGCTTCACAAATTGTTTCCGGTCACTTAAATAATTTTTCACCCATTGCAGTACAACCCCCCTAATCCCATACCGTTCCAGTTTATTAATTAATATGTCATGATTGATTGTGTCGAATACTTTCTTGAGATCCAGAAATACTCCAGCTGCATACTGTTTCTGATCTATAGCATTCGTAATCTCCTCAATTGATTCGATTAATGCCAGAGATGTTGATCTTTTTGATCTGAATCCATATTGACTGTCAGAGAGTAATTTATATTTATCTAAGAATTTGTCTAATCGTTTATTAAACAGGTTTTCTAGGATTTTGGAGAATTGTGGTAGTAAAGAAACAGGCCTGTAATTTGTGAAGTGGTGTCTATCCCCGGTTTTATACAGCGGCACAACTTTAGCTATTTTCATTTTGTTTGGCACTTTTCCCGTCTGAAATGATAAGTTGCAAATATATGTTAGAGGTCCTACAATTCCTTCAATGACCTTCTTGACGATTTTCATGTCAATATCATTACAATCAGTAGATGTTTTATATTTACACATGTGTACAATGTCAATTATTTCTTTTTCCTCCACTGATGTAAGGAACATTGAGTTAGGGTTCCTATCAATCAGGTTTTCACTACATTCTACTGATGGCAGTGACTCAGGAATTTGTTCTGCCAGTTTTGGTCCAATATTTACAAAATAATGATTAAAGCTGTTGACCTTATCAGCAGTGTTTTCCATAATATTGCCATTATCGATAAAGTATTGTGGATAACTTTGTTGTCCAGAATTATTTTTAATGATACCGTTTAAAACATCCCATATTCCTTTCATATTCTGTTTATTGTTGTTCAATATTTTACTATAATACTCCTTTCTACATACACGTATAATATTGGTCAACTTATTTTTGTATTTTTTATATTTATTTTCAGCATCTTTTGTTCTTTGTTTTAGGTATTCCCTATAGAGTGTATTTTTCTTTTTACATGCATTTTGTAAACCCTTAGTGAGCCAGATATGTTTAGTTCTTTGAAATGAGATCATGATCAACTAAATTTTCAATGAACATTTTCAGGTTAAACAGCTATTAAAATTTGAACTTGCTCTTTGATTTTCTAAAAGAGCTGTACATGATACATACGTGAGTAAAAATAAGTTCCACATGTTAAGTGTTTTCCTGTTGGAACCTTGTAATTAAGGCCCCTTCAACCCTAACACAAGAATTGACTGTATCCAGAAAGTATTGCCAGTGCTTCACTTGTTCAACATTTTGTGATGTTATAGCCAAAATAGGATTGATTCATTTTCACCTCAAAATTCTACACACACCACAAAACAATGCAATGACAAAGTGAAAAACTTGAAATTCTTACACTTTAATAAAAAAAAATGGAAAAACCAAAATGGAACATGTAGATAAATATTTATAGCCTTTGTAATGACACTCAGAGGTGAGCTCAGGTGCATCCAGTTTCCAATTATCATCTGCCAGACGATTCAACAACCTTATTGGAGTTCACCTGTGGTAAATTTAGTTGATTGTACTTGATCTGAAAATAAACTATATAGTTGATTTTTATACTTTCATGCTTTTTTCCCTCTTATTTCTAAATTTTGTTTTGTCATGTTTTATTATATTGTATTGCTGTTATTGTTTGTGCTATTGTAAGGTGACCTTGAGGGTCTTAAAGGCGCCTATAAATACAACTTATTATTATTATTATTATTACAGTGCATGTGAAAGAATGTCAAAATGTGGGATAAGTGATGCACTCTAGATACTTTTGGATGTACTATAAAGAAATGGGACCTTTTTGCCGAACAAAAGCGCACACAAATAATCTATGTGGTCGAGTGGTGTTGAATTATGTTAAGTGTAGATAAGCACTGGGTTACACAACTGGTTCATTCGTGGGAAGTCGGAGAGGGGTTTGGTTTTGTTTTGTTTTTTTTATTGTGTGGTTTTTGTTTTGTTTTTTGTCCCTCATAGCAAACATGAAAAATGACTCAGAAATTCAACATTTTCCTGGTGGTGAGTATTGAGCAAGAATGTCTTATTTATTTATTTATCTGGCTAAATTGCCATTGTACCTTATGCTGAACACACAGTCTGGTCATGAGCAGGATTTTAAAAATGTTTTATAGATAGATTTACTCATTTATTAAAAAAAAAAGTCATTCCCTTCTCTCCCCTGCGGGTGGTCTATCCTTCAAGCTAGGGTCCTCTACCAGAGTCCTGCGAGCTTGAGGGTCCTGTGCAGTATCTTTGCTATTTATATGACTGCGCTGTTCTGAAAAGAGTTCTCAGATGTTATTCCTCAGATCTTAGCTTGGGAGTCACTGCACCAAGTGCACCGAATACCACTGGGACCACTGTTACCTTCATCCTCCAGATCTTCTTGAGCTCTTCTTTGAGCCCTTGGTACCTTTCATGTTCCTTCTTCCTGATGTTGCTGTCATTTGGTATTGCTACATCTATAACTACGGTTATCTTCCTCTGCTTGTCCACCACTACTATGCCCAGTTTGTTAGCCATCACCAGCTTTTTTGAGTGAGCCACAGGATCTTGGCTCACTCATTCTTGACCACCCTAGGGGCTTCTCCTATTTTGACCTTGGGACTTTCAGGCTGGCACAGATGTTCCTGTATACTATGCTGGCCACTTGGTTGTGGTGCACCCTGCTGTTATGTGTTGGGGCATCTTTACTTAGGCTGCATCTGGGATCTTGCCCAGTGTGGTAGACCCCCACCTCTCTTGTACTTAGGGCTTGTTCCTGTGCTGCCATGATTAGAGCCTGTGTGCTGTCTTTCACTCCAGCTTTGTCCAGTTTCTGGTAGGATTTCTGGATATCAGCGACTTCCTCTATCTATACCATACAGGGGCCCATCCTTCCATGATGCTTCTTCTCCTTGCTCCTCTTCTTTCTTTCTGCTGCCTGAGGTATTCACTAAGTACAGGGAGTGCAGAATTATTAGGCAAATGAGTATTTTGTCCACATCATCCTCTTCATGCATGTTGTCTTACTCCAAGCTGTATAGGCTTGAAAGCCTACTACCAATTAAGCATATTAGGTGATGTGCATCTCTGTAATGAGAAGGGGTGTGGTCTAATGACATCAACACCCTATATCAGGTGTGCATAATTATTAGGCAATGTCCTTTGGCAAAATGGGTCAAAAGAAGGACTTGACAGGCTCAGAAAAGTCAAAAATAGTGAGATATCTTGCAGAGGGATGCATCAGTCTCAAAATTGCAAAGCTTCTGAAGCGTGATCATCGAACAATCAAGCGTTTCATTCAAAATAGTCAACAGGGTCGCAAGAAGCGTGTGGAAAAACCAAGGCGCAAAATAACTGCCCATGAACTGAGAAAAGTCAAGCGTGCAGCTGCCAAGATGCCACTTGCCACCAGTTTGGCCATATTTCAGAGCTGCAACATCACTGGAGTGCCCAAAAGCACAAGGTGTGCAATACTCAGAGACATGGCCAAGGTAAGAAAGGCTGAAAGACGACCACCACTGAACAAGACACACAAGCTGAAACGTCAAGACTGGGCCAAGAAATATCTCAAGACTGGTTTTTCTAAGGTTTTATGGACTGATGAAATGAGAGTGAGTCTTGATGGGCCAGATGGATGGGCCCGTGGCTGGATTGGTAAAGGGCAGAGAGCTCCAGTCCCACTCAGACGCCAGCAAGGTGGAGGTGGAGTACTGGTTTGGGCTGGTATCATCAAAGATGAGCTTGTGGGGCCTTTTCGGGTTGAGGATGGAGTCAAGCTCAACTCCCAGTCCTACTGCCAGTTTCTGGAAGACACCTTCTTCAAGCAGTGGTACAGGAAGAAGTCTGCATCCTTCAAGAAAAACATGATTTTCATGCAGGACAATGCTCCATCACACGCGTCCAAGTACTCCACAGCGTGGGTGGCAAGAAAGGGTATAAAAGAAGAAAAACTAATGACATGGCCTCCTTGTTCACCTGATCTGAACCCCATTGAGAACCTGTGGTCCATCATCAAATGTGAGATTTACAAGGAGGGAAAACAGTACACCTCTCTGAACAGTGTCTGGGAGGCTGTGGTTGCTGCTGCACGCAATGTTGATGGTGAACAGATCAAAACACTGACAGAATCCATGGATGGCAGGCTTTTGAGTGTCCTTGCAAAGAAAGGTGGCTATATTGGTCGCTGATTTGTTTCTGTTTTGTTTTTGAATGTCAGAAATGTATATTTGTGAATGTGGAGATGTTATATTGGTTTCACTGGTAAAAATAAATAATTGAAATGGATATATATATATATATATATATATATATATATATATATATATATATATTTTTTTTTTTTTTTTTGTTAAGTTGCCTAATAATTATGCACAGTAATAGTCACCTGCACACACAGATATCCCCCTAAAATAGCTAAAACTAAAAACAAACTAAAAACTACTTCCAAAAACATTCAGCTTTGATATTAATGAGTTTTTTGGGTTCATTGAGAACATGGTTGTTGTTCAATAATAAAATTATTCCTCAAAAATACAACTTGCCTAATAATTCTGCACTCCCTGTACACAATTGGTTGTGGCCATTGGTTGTACTCATAGATGTTTGTGTACATTCTCACTGAAGGCATCGAAATTATGAATGAACACACATGTAATTTTGTAGTAGATAAAAGTATGAAATGACTCATAACATGCTTTATACTTTAGTCTTCAAAATAGCCAACCTTTGCTTTGATTACTGCTTTGCACACTCTTGGATTTCTCTCGATGAGCTTTGAGGTTGTCACCTGAGCTGGTTTTCCAACAGTCTTGAAGGAGTTCCCAGAGATGCTGAACACTTGTTGGCCCTTTTGCCTTCACTCTGCGCTCCATCTCATCCCAAACCATCTTGACTGGGTTTTAGGTCAGGTGACACTGGAGGCCAGGACATCTGGCGCAGCACTCCATCACTGTCCTTCTTGGTCAAATAGCCCTTACACATCCTGGAGGTATGTTTGGGGTCATTGTCCTGTTGAAAAATACATGGTGGTCCAACTAAATGCAAACCGGATGAGATGGCAGGATGCTGTGGTAACCATGCTGGTTCTGTGTGCCTTTTAATTTTGAATAAATGCCCAACAATGTCCAATACTTGTGTTTGTTGGCACAAACAAATCTCTTGTGCTTGTTGTGGTTTCTTAGCAGCTATTTGACCATAAAGGTCTGATTCACACAGTCTCCTCTGAACAGTTGATGTAGAGATGTGTCTGCTACTGGAACTCTGTGTGGCATTTATTTGGGCTTAATCTGAGTCGCTGTTAACTTCAGATTTCTGAGGTTGGTGACTCGGATGAATATATCCTCAGCAGCAGAGTTGACTCTTGGTCTTTCTTTCCTGGGGCATCCTCATCCAGTTTCATCATAGTGCTTGATGGTTTTTGAGACTGCACTTGGCAACACAGTCAAAGTTTGAGGAATTTTCCAGACTGACTGACCTTCAGTTCTTAAAGTCATGATGGACTGTCATTTCTCTTTATTTAGCTGATTGGTTCTTGGTATAATATAATTTCTAGTAGTTGTCAAATAGAACTTTCAGCTTTGTACCAACCTGACTTCTGCAGAACGCAACTGATCATCCCAACCCCATTAAGAAGGTATGAAATTCCACAATCGAACCCTGACAGGTGACTACATCCTGAAGGTCATTGAGAAAAGGCCAAGGGATTGCAGCGCTGTCAAGAAAGCAAAGGGTGGCTACTTTCAGGAATCTGAAATATAAAGTATATTTAGAGTTTTTTTTTTTCTTTGCTACATACATCTTGCTTCATATATTTGATGTCTACAGTGTAGAACGTAGTAAAATTAAAGAAAAAAAAAACATTTAATGAGAAGGTGTGTCCAAACTTTGTGTATGCCTGTATGTCTAATCTGGAGATCAACTTTAATTAATTTTATCTGAGCTACCAGTGAAACTGTTAATATAATGACTTTATTTTGGTCTTCTGAAATCTCTCTGACAGATCACCTGTTTGAAGTGGCCATAGAGATCAACTTTAGTCAGGATTTGCTGAAGTCTTGGGACAACCTGGCCAGATCACTGCTGCTTTCAGTAAAAGCTTTGGTGTGTGTGTGTGTGTGTGTGTGTGTGTGTGTGTCATATGTAGCATGTTTTTGTTTTTTGTTTTTTTTTTGTTTTTGTAATAAATATAAAAAACAAAGCTTCATTGACGCATTAAGAAATGGTGAAGGCCCAGACTAAACTTTGTACATGGCTTTTGTTTCTGTAGATCAGCAAACAGCTGGAGGCTCTGCATGCACAACTGTCGGTGTCTTCCAAAAGAATAAAAAGGTTTGTAGAAAACATCCTCACAAGTCTTTCCATTAATGCTGAAGTATAAGTTTGTCTTTGAATGAGACTGTCTTTTCTGAGTGAACCTATGCAGAAAAGAACTGCAACTCCACACGTAAATACCATTGGTCTAATCTTGCAAAACCGACCACGACTGGATGAAAGTATAGATGGGATCAGATGTAAAATGTAATTTGAACACTTGTACACTTGAGATGTTTCTTCTATTTCACTACAGTTTTGCCACTTTGTTTTGTGTCAGTAGTTTTACAATTTTTATGCTCTTGTGCAGTGTTGTGTTGATTCTGAAGTTGCTGAATTTGGGTTTCTGTTTAGGGTTTTACTTTTATTGTAGTGTTTAAAGTTTTAAATTGTATTATTTAAGTCCCTGTTTGGTTTCTTTGGTGTTCTGGGTACCTGTTTAGATTGCCTCATTGTTCTAGGGTTTGTATTAAACTTTGGCTCCAATTTTGATGTTCTTGTGTTTAACTTGATCAGTTTCCTTATTTTGGTCCTCCTCTGTCTTGTCTTTCTGTTTATGCTTTTGTCCCCTAGTTTTCGATTCTGTTTTCTTTAGTGCTCTGTGTAAGTTTTAGTTCCTGTCTCTGTCTTCCCATGATTGTTCTTATCTGTGTTAATTATGCTCAGTGTCTGCTATCGCCGTTTCATTGTCTGATACCCGTTGTTCTGCTGTGGTTGTTGGAATTTTCATTTGCTTCACATTTTGGACATTTTGACTGTCACTCTGGGACTCCATGTCCAACTTGGGGAAAAAAGGGTGCCTTTTACTTTGTATCCAGCATATAGGACCAGACCTTTTCCCCACCTCTCTCATTCATTTTCCTCTTTTGCTACCATACTAAAAACAAATCCTGGAAACTCCACTTGAGAACTGTAGACTGGTGTATTTATTACATTAAACCTCACTCTGCAGCGCCTGAACTTATGTCATTGTGTAGTCTGTTTTAGACTCAATAATGAAACGGGATCTATGGACCATAAAGCTGCTTTACTGTTAAGGTATATGTTACGGTACATAATTACAGGTTTTGTGCACAGGTTGCATGCAGGAGTGCTGTACATCCTCTGGCTGCAAGTTAGACAGGGACCTAGAGGCATGCATGTCCACAGGGGCATCCACTCTGCTCTCCAGGGGCTCATTGAAGTTGATGCCAGTGGCAAAGGAAATCTGAGAAAGGCAATCATTATGTCTGTGTCGACTGCAGGTATGGAAGTGTCCAAAATTGCTTGGTAATGTTACTCTGGACAAATCTGTAAACAGGAAGGAGTCAAAAACAGTGATTACTGATAAATACATATTTGATTACACTAATTGTTTTTACATAGTTTATTTTAAATGCATATAATACTAAACACATTATCAGCTAAAAGTTCTGTGCATGTCTGTTTCAGATGTTAATGAGTGTGGGACCCAGCTTGCTCAATGTGACTTCAATGCAGACTGTGTGAACCAGTTTGGCTCCTACTCATGCCATTGCCGGGCAGGCTTTCAGGATAACTCCCGCCTGGGATCAGGAGGAACCATCTGTGTGGACATGAAGGCTGCAGGTATGTTTGACCCATATCAGAAATCTTAGTTAGACTTGCAGATATTCTGCTTTATTTCAGCTGCTGATCTCCTGTTTTGTTTGGCGGGGTTTTCGTTTTCCCTTCAGGTTGCAGCTCACGCCTGTCCACTGAAGCCAAAGGTGTATACGTCCTTTTCTTCCTGCTCAGCTCACTAATTCTTGCGCTGCTGGTGGTTGCTGGCATGTTCTACCATCGTCACCACCGGGGAAAATTCCTAGTTCGCTGCCACAGCAACAGCAGCTTATCCCCTTCTGACCCCAACAACAACCACCAGCATCCTGAGGAAAACTACTCCAATCCCGCTGACTCTGACCCGCCTCCCCCATCTCCACCTGCCTGGGGTCCCAGAGAGTGCTGGGGCCATGTAAAGGAGCAACGGCAAGTTGTGGATCTGCAGCTGCTGCGCTTCAATCTGCTGCACCCTCCAGACCGCTACATGGATCAGCAGGAGGGTGTGAACAGTCAATGATAATTAATCTTAATTATATTCAGTAAAATGTCTTCTTTAAATTTACTTTCGTTTTTTTTGTCTGCATTTTGCACTATTTGTAAATTGCACAATTAAAGGCACAATGAAAAGCATTTTTATTCCTTGAAGTGCAAAACATGTCTTGAGAGAAGACTGTTGTAGTAATAATAATAATAATAATAATAATAATAATAATAATAATAATAATAATAATAATAAATCTTATTTGAAAGTGCCTTTCAAGACACCAGAGGACACTTAACAATAGAATAAAACTCTAGCCCCCACCCCCAAAGGGGGTCGGTTGCCCTCGGCCTGGGGCTCGGTCACTCTGGCACAGCTGGCTGCCGGCGGAGCTCACGGGCGCGTCACTGCAACCCCCCCCCCCCCGGCTTCTGCTCCACGGCTGCTGAGTGAGCCCTCATCTGGGACTCTCCTCAGCTCTTTCTGGGACAGTGGCGCGGCTGCCCCTCTGTTGGTCTTCCTTGGTCTCTTGTGCTCTGAGGGCCTCTGGATGGCTGGAGCCTGGATCTCCTCCATACCTGCTTCATGCCCTGGAGGACGGGGCTGTGGCCCCCCACACCCTCTAGCAGATCATTACATGAAGGAACCTTTTAAATACAAGCGCGTCCATGCTCACAGGTGTACACACGGGTGCTCACAGACACAAACTACACCCTTTTTGGCTCCTACCTCAAAGCACACTGTGTTCTGTTGATCTTATGTGCTGCACAATAATATTCCATATTTAGTATTTACTGTTATATTCACATAGATTATTGCGATGATGTTCTGATGTGACACGGAGCAGTATCATCTGTAGTCCTGCAGCGCGGTCACAGCTTATCATATATCGTCTCAGCTTCCTGTTTCCTCTTCCCTTTTTTTTTTTTTTTTTTTTTTTTTTTTTTTGGCTTGTTTTCTCTTTTTTTCTTAACAGGTGATCCAGGTGATTGATATTTGTATTTTTTGTCTGTTTGTTTTGTTGGTTTTTGTTTTTTGCCCTTTATCACCGTCGCTCTTCCCCAATGTTTTTCTTTCCCTCCCTCTCTTTCATTCTCCCTTTTCTTTCCCCCAGTCATGTCTGTCCCGTGTGTAGCAAGTGAAAATAAAATGAACAATAAAAGCAAAGGTGAATCAAATAGACCAATACGGCAAGGCCGGGATAGTCCATTTGGTAAAGTAAATCTGTTGGGCATCTTTCTTTGCCTTTAGACAATAATTCTGATGGCAAAAGAGCCAAGCTGTGGGGGGGGGAGAATAAAACACATAATATAACAATGACAACAAAGGAAAAATTAGAAAAAAGCACAAAATAAAATGATAAATCCAAGTCAAAAAATGTACCGGTCAATAGCGGCACCCAGACGCACCAGCATTCACTCAAGCCAGAAGTATTCACGGCTTGAGTGAATGTGGGATTTACATGGAAAAAGCCTATAAAACAAAAATTTAGGATACTAAAACTATAGATCAAAACAAATCGCCAATACAACTTTGATACATAAGATATTTGAGCTAACTTTTATAGTCTAGTGTCAGGCAGAAGATGCCTGCCTGGGACAGCTCATAGGGGAGCAGTAATATAACACATGTATAGTGTATGGGGTCTATTAAATAAGATTCAAACTATTGCAGCAGTACCTTTAATGCCTTTTGAATGCTCTAATCGCTGTTAAAAGCCATAAGATTCTTTGTAACTGTTACCAATGCTGTTTTTGTACTGTGATGAAATCTGAATCTTGAGTAAAATTCTTTAAATAAACATTCCTCTGCAGATGATCAGTTAGCTGTTTTGTAACTAGTCTTTTTTTAGAATTGTTGAGATAAAAGGAATGTCTGCATGCAGCCTGAGTCCACCAAAGCCTGGCAGCTTACCCGAACACTGTATGTCGCTCTTGGGACCCCAATGACATGGAACACCTGACCAACCTCCATCAATGGACACTCCTGCCGCATATGTCCTGTCACCCGCATCTCTAACACTTCTGCCTTAGCATTGGTGTGGCCCGCCGTGGGTCAGCGCTGGCAGGACCTGGTGAGGCAGATCTGGGAGAAAGGGGTTAGTGTCCTGTAGCTGCAGTGGCTGCTCTGCCAGGGCAGGGCCGTGGGGACCTGGAAATAGCCTCGTCCCACTAGCTGCCAGCTGCAACCCTCCACCTCCTCTGGCTGCGTGGCCGTCAGCATGACCTGACAGCCGCGCCTCTCTTTCCAACGGCACAGGTAGCCAGGTAGCCTGGCATGCCTCTGCCATTGCCTGTAATGTTTCAAGGAACACCTGAGGGTCGTAGCCTGCCCCCATCCTATGTGGCGTCACTGCCACTGTAGGGGGTAGGGGAGGTGCAGTGGGAGAGTCAGCCCGACCAGCCTCTCCAGCACTTGTTCTGGTGTCAGCCTGGTCCTGCAGCTTATCCAACTGAGCTCTCTGCATCCCATTAAAAGAACATTGAAAGGACTGTAGGAATGCGTCTACCAATAACGTGCTGGTCAAGGACACTCCTACAGGACACATGCCGTACTGTGGTCGCAGCTTCAAGCCAGCCAGCCTGCATCATTGCATGTAAAGAGTGAAGTGTAGTCTGTGCTGGCCCACCCAGTCCAAACCACTTTAATAGGCTTACAGCAGCTAATCCAGCACAGTGTGCTGACACATTGGGAGTCTGCTGACCTTACTCTGCTTTATTACAGGGTACTTGTTCCCTCAGACCTTCACTGCTCAAAACAGGAAATCAGCTACAGTTTCTCTACATCTTCATTCAGGGGGAAATATTGGAACGATTTTCATCAGGTTTGCATAAAAAAATTATTCAATTTGAATGATGACAATGACGTCTAAGTTGATCTCATTTTTGCTCTAACACGTTAAAACTATCAGCTTTTTAAAAAAGAAAATCTTTCTGTTAGGGGGGGGGGTTAATTGTTGACTGATAATCAGCTTTAACTTATAGGCTTCGACTGCATTGGAAAGCTAGTTTTCAGGAAAATCTGCAATGCATTTGTCATCTAATGCAGTCCACAATTAATTAAGTCAGCTTCCTTTTTACTTCATTGATGGTATTAAGATTTTTTCTAGATTTTTTTCCCACCATTTACTCAGATCCCTGCCTCCTGTTAAAAGGAACTCCTTCTTTGTCCTTTGACTGAATGCTCCTTATGTCTATCAGGTAGATTCTCCAAGGACAGCATCACTTGGTTGCTGTCTGTAAGGTAAGGAGGAGTGGTTGTTGGTGGTGGTAATAGTAGATCCACCCTCAGCTATCTTCCTCACTTGGAAACCTGAGGTCACTCCTCCTCTATCGCTCTCCAACCAGAGAGGCATGCTGAGCATGACCTTCCAGGCAGCATCCTCCAACCTTAATCCTGTGCAACCCTCCCACACATGCACAGAATCCCAACTGTTTTTCACTGCCCTAAAACAATAATAAAGTCCTACAGTAAAAAAGCGTCTCTAATTCCATTACCTTCCTGTATTGCATTTATTTCATTTTATTGTAGTTTATTTTCAATGTGTATCCTGTTTTTCTTTGTTTTGTCTTTGATTCTGAGAAAGCTATGTCACTGAAAACATTTCAGATGACTAAAGCATTAGTCAATTTTCTTGTGGGCAGTGAAGACTGGAATCCTTATGTTACTAGTTGACAAAGTGATAAAGAAGGTATTAAGGTATTAAGGCGTTAGAAATTTAAAATGTTTCTAATTACATTTCTGACATTCAACTTAATAGAAGAATAATGAAGGATTACTGTAATACATTTTTTTTTCATCTGGAAAGGAATTAAAACTCGTAATTGTATTAATTCGATTTGTCTATATTATTTATTTATATTGTTCACTAACCATATTTATGTTCTCAGATGTTTTAACACCTCCAGCACTTGAATGCTCTCAAGCGAACATGTCAAATTCACAGGAAATATTTTCATAGTAATGGCTATATTCATAAAGTGATATTGCTGTATTCATGGCCTACAATATTTCAATTTGAAAAGCTCTGTGATCTCTCTTCTTGATTCTCCATCAGATAAAAACATAATCACTTGACACAAGACAATACTCAACAGTGGCGTCTGTGACTTTTATAAACATTTAATATCTATATTAGGGGTGCAACGATACACAAAATTCACGGTTCGGTTCGGTTCGATACTTTGGTGTCACGGTTCGATATTTTTTCGATACAAAAAAAGTTCATGCATTTTTAATTTGTCATTTATTAAAATTATAAATATATATTTTAACTCAAAAGTACAGTTTTTAAATTTAACCCTAACCCTTGTGCGCGTTTTTTATTTTGACAGCGAATGCGCACCTGCGGACCACTTATGTGCAGCCCTGGTTATTTAGCTCGTCATATTGCAGCCACAGAAATTCTTTTGTCCATGAAACCATAAAGCTGCACTTTCTTTTTGCCTTATAGTCTGATTTGTCATAACTTCTCCGTTTTGTGGTAAGCTTTTCTTTGGCTGTCACTTCTTCACCCTGACCTGTCTTATTTGGCTCAGCAGAACTAAAATATATATCCTGCTGCTTTTACACATGGACTCACATAAGCTCAGCGATTCTCTGCGCGATCAACCTCTCACATGTTTAAGCTTGCTGCGGGAGATTTCACTTGTCATGTTTGCATAGTAAGCTAACGATTAATAAGACGATGTCAGAGGAATTGGTGCGCAAATTATCATCACTCACAGATCAGTGCTGTCGCTCTCTATACACAGTTCGCACGATTGCAAAGTGAAAGCAAAAAAACAAGCGCAAATTCAAACACGATTTCAATATGTCACATATTGACAGTGGCTCACCGATGCCAATGACATAATTACCCAGCTACATTTCTGAAAGAATGCAAAAGCATTGACATATATTTTTCCTTCCTACAATAGCCCGACGGGCAGGGTAGCCCGTCTGAAAAAAAACGCTAGCCCCAGGACGTCGGGCTAGCGATTGTGCAAGCCCTGTATCTGATTGAGGAATCACTCATCTTTGGAAAAGAGAGTTTATTACAGAGAAATGTCTCTTTCCAAAATAAAAGCTATACTATCCGCTTCTTCTGGGCTATATTCTCAGCAGCATAAGGAGAATCATGTGCTAACAGCTGTCTAAATGACTCGGC